GAATGCAAAGATCTGACATTTGAACCGAAAGTATTTACATAGAGCATGGCCTAAGTCCAACGCACTAAGCCCTGCGTTATCGGAACGACTGTGATTGAGCAGACTGGGACTCATATAAGCCCCCTGCAGCGTCTTGCTATACGCTAGTCAATGAGTATGCGTAGACAGATGGATATAATTTAAAGAGATTGCTTTTTGTTCGTTAACTGGTTACTGTTGGTTCCACTTGCATCGCTCTGCATTGTGCCATTTACGTATGCGAGGTACCGATGCGTTCAGCATTCATATTATTTGTCGTTATTTCTAAATCACTGGTTTCCTGTGCATTGCGTAACTTTCTGTCGGCCACAGTATGCGACCGAACAGTAGGTCATGCCATTTTTTAATGGTAAGCATATACGTGATTGTAAATACAAGCGAACATGCGAGTCCTAGGAAGTAATTGAGAAAAAGACGATTCGATCGATGGGACAACACTTTTATTCACCTGACCTTTCGACATCCGTCGCGGACTCTTTATCAGAGCCATGAGCAAAAAGCAATAGCAGAAACGGGTAAGATATGCACAGAAATTCGCAGTATTTACTGCACACGTATAACGACAACCGCGTGAGCCGCGAGCTGCTCGAGTCATGGTCCTCAGACCCACAGTCCATCAACAAGGGCGACGATTTGCCGTTCCCATACTGCGTACTGAGACATTGCCTGAGCAAGAGAATCAGGCACGTGGGAAGGGCCGATTCCAGCAACAACTCTACCGACAGCGAACGCGATTGTCACGCAATAATCAAGCCCACATCCGACATGGACAACGAAATCGTGGCAATTAATAAGTCGAAAACGAAATTTCAAACCATCACCCCAAGCGGTCGTTACCGAAGCTGATAATTATAGTACGCATGTGAATGACCGCTAAGAACTACAATAACCGTGCAATCTGTGCATGTATCACTCCAATCTGTCTATGTCTCACACCATCCTTAGGTTACCTATGATTAAGGATTTTCGACAGAATCCGAAATGTCAGGAAAATAAAATTCTTGTTCCAGTGATCGTATCTTCTTCTTCTGAACGACAATTAATGATAATTGCCCTCTTGTGCGTTGATAGCTTGCTGGCCGACATGCGGGCTCTGACTTGCTGAACTTTCATCACGCGTAGTGGACTCGGGCGTGATGATTGCTCGGCCATCTGGCTCTCTGGTGATGGCGTAAGACGAACGGTGGCCTGTGCGTTCCCCAAGTGACGACTTGCTTTGGCCAAATGAGGCTTTGCAAATTCCTGTGCCCTTGTTACCCGTTTTCTGCTCATGTCTCTGATGAAGAATCCGCGACGGATGTCGAAATGTCAGGCGAATAAAAGTGTTGTCCCAGCGATTAAATCTCCTTCTGGTGTAGGTGGTTTTCACTGTAAGCCGTTGACCGTGTAAACCATGGCGGCCTGTTGACAACTCTACTCATAATAGCCTCGGTTAGTTTTCTCCTCTCCACACTAAGAGCCCAGAGGGTATTTTTTTCCAATTTCATCACGTCAGAGGAATGCCTGCAGAATTCATGCGATTCTGCAGGATCTTAGTGAGTTGGTTTTATACCGCATTTTGTGGCTATTACGTAAGCGATGCGAATGCAATTTTCAGCTTTTTTTATCTACTTCCATAAACCTTTTTTTTCCCAAGCCCTGTACGCCGCTTCCGTAAAACCTCTTTAGTTTAATCGTCTTGCGCGGGGGGAGGGATTGCGGATGTGGCGTGTATGATCCTTACTAACATTTACCTTTTATTTCTTTGCAAAAGGGAACCTCCCGTGTGTATTTGATAAGCCAAACAATCTTGTCTATGTATATCCCATCAGATTGTCAGCAACGACGACACACTGCTTGCACCCGTGCCAGGTATTTACCAAGATTTGGTCAAGCAATTCCTGGCTCAACTGCAGATCGACCTCAGTGACCAGGTTGCTCTGCTTACCAGACGGCTTCTACCTTGTGTCGAACTCTACCAAGCCACCAGCTTCGCCCTTGCAGCTACCTGCCGTCAGGAGGGCTTGCTCTCACGATTCTATGCCTGGTCTTTAAGTCTGGCGCTCTGTCTCCTCTTCGC